ACATATCCGCATATGTATATATATATACACAATCTATATATACATATACATATACATACATATATAATATGATACTAAATGTTAATTAAGACCTCGGTAGTGAAAAAATACTGAACTAGTTTCCATTAAATTAAGTTCAAAAATGAAGCACAAAATATTTATTTCGATATTCTAATCTTTCTAAATGAGCATGTGTGAAAACCTCGGTGATTTTAGTTAAGAATAGGGTGGTTTTGAAATACTGGATCTTGTTCATTTCTTTGGAAAGCGGTAGGATCCCCCAAAAGCGATACGAGTAATAAAGATTATTTGGGATATATAAATCTTGTTGCGGTATATATGATTTGAATTTTTTATGGGATATATGATTAGGTAATGGATACTCCAATCGATATTTTAGTCGATACTTACCAGCTCGTTTCGTGACCCATTGCCTATTCTGGTCATAAAGGGTAGTTTAGGGTGGTAAGGGGCGATAGAAAGCAAAGGACATAGGAAAAAGGTAGTGAAAGATAATTAAGAATACTAAAGGGGAGCAAAGGATAGATTAAGGGTAACACAAATTAATAAGGAGTAGTAAAAATAAGATAAGCTACGATAAAGATTCATAAATTTGCTAATATTTTTAGAGTAATAAAACGATTTCTCGTAGAAATTTTTGACTATATAAATCTTTGTAAGGGGATAAGCCCTCTTTTCATATCTAGGATCTGACCATAAGGAAATTTGATAAATGACTAAAAAAAAATTAAGTATAGAATTTAAATAAGCAATTTATCTAGAATTTTGGAATTCGATGAATAAATTTCTTCTCTATAATATATATATATATATTGATATTTTTATTATTCGTCGTAATCGAATTAGAACATTATTTTCGTGGAGGTTTAGTAGGTTTGAAGTATTTGATTCGAGCGAAAAAATGGTTCGTGTGTAATTTTTGAAAAGATATTATGTAATAGATTCGATATATTTAGAAGAGATTTAAAATTTAATTATTGGTTTATATAAAAATGTTTCTATTTTTGAGTAATATATTAGTTATTTATTGTATTAGTTATATTTTCTCGATTTTGGAATTATATTCTATTTTTTTCTTAAAAATGAATTTGATTATGATTATTATTTTGATTGAATTTTTTATTTTTTCTGCCTTTCGGATTTATTTTTGTTTGTTTTATATTGATATTGCTTCTATTATTTTCTACTCTGCGGTTGGAAATAAGAATAAGGTTTCTTAAAAATAGAATTCTAAAGCCGTTACGAATTAATTTTGGAATCGTATTAATATCTTATTATGCAATTTCTTATTATTGATTCGGTCGCTAAAGATTGGAATTCTCTCCGATTCGCACTCTATATACTTGGAAGTTATTCTAGGTGCTAGGTCTATTTTTTTATATAATTCTTCGATATTTATCTCTTTATTTCGTGCATAATTTCTTTATTCTTTTAATTATCTTCTCTTTTCTTCTTCTCTCGTTCCGTCTATTAATCTTCTGTTCTCACCTCGCTCCGCATCTTATAAAGAATAATAATTTAGTATATTTAATTTAGGTAGATGGGGTGGGGATTGGAAAGTCGTGCGGAAGGGGGGAGATGATGCATTTTCAGTATTGGGACGAAAAAAGAAATTTTGTTGGGCAAGCTATATCTTGTATTAAATAGATATGAAATTTTTGAATTGATATAGATATATTTATTTTTTCTTAAGTATTTATAAATATTTTTTAGTTATTTCTAGGTTTTTTCGGGTAGAAAAGTAAGGGGTATGGGTAAATAATGGAACACAGGAGAAATATAAGAGAGGAGAAATGGCATGGATATGGTAGTCTTAGTATGCGTACAAAAATAAAATTTGTGTTGTAGTAAGGTGGATAGGGAGTAAAGGAAATAAAGGAAGGGGAGATATTCGTTAGTAAGAGACGTAAAGAGTGGGTAGGAGGAGCGAAGAATTAGAAAGAGGATGGGCGGCGAACGGTAGCTTAGAGTCAAAGGATTTATCCCTGGCCTTTCTCCATCTTCGATCCTTCTCCTAATATAAAATCAAAAATATAAAATAAATGATAAAATTCTATTTCAAGCTAAAAATATGAAATAAAAAATATTTTTCGATATAATTCTATTGCAGATAAACAAACTAATTATAAATAATTTTTATATCTATAATTTTTATTCTTTCTCTATAGAAACGAATTTTCTAAATTATATAAAAAATAGAATTACCAAATAGAAGAAATACGAAATTAAATTTTAGAGATATACACAATAATACACTCAAAAAATACAGAATTTTTTAAAAAACATATTCAACCAGATTTTCATAATTCTACGACTAGACCACTAGATAAATCAAAAAAAATATATTTCAATATATAGAAGAATCCTTAAGATATCATCCATTCTCATAGCTACTCATAACAAATTAATCTCAACTCTATGCTCTAAATTCTATCTAAATCATATATTTACTATCGATCCTTATGAAATATAAAATTAATAAAGAAGTGCCCGGAACCTCAAATAAGGAACCTCAAACCCATACCAGCTATTTCTTAAGAAAATTCTGCACTTCTCCGAATTTAACTTCGACTATATGTTCGGAAGCCCATATCTGAAGACGACTGTGTGCTTCAAGACGCCTCTATATTCTATACGACTTCAGCATTTTGCACACGTTAGACAGATTCCCAGACCCTTTGGGGGGTCCTAAGGGGGGTCTGAAGGATTTCGGTTCCGACAATTTCTCTACCTGCTGGTTGTAATAGCGATTATAATAGGAAGCCTACTCTACAGGCAGCAACAAAAGGACTGATTTTTTAAGCTGCCGCTGTGTTTGCAGGGGTCCACAAGGGACCTTTGGACCTGGAACGAATTTGCGGTGGGAGCATGGACTTGCCATTATCATCGTCGACTTCCATCTATTTAATCAAGCACAGTTACATGTTCTGCCACCCAACAATCTTACGAAGCCGCCTCCACAAGTTACCGAATTTCTTCCACAGGTGAACTCTCACAAGTCGACGTTTGCCACGACTCTCGCACACAGCATCCTAGCGATATCTTATTACGAGAGAAATACCTCTAGTGGTAACCATGAGAACAAACTCACTGTACAAGTCGATAGAGCTCGGCGAAGCCCAAAATATATAATATACAATTAATTACTATTAAGGTCAGATAAGAACATTCCGAATCCACAAATCAAGTCGATATTCGTAGTGCTATACATCTACTCAAGCATCAAGCCTACTTCCCGAATCCAGAATTCTTCCGAACCTCAAAAAGACCGAAATATGGCAAAAAAATCGCTACCAAACCCAAATTTTTTTCTTTTTTCTAATTAAAATCCATAAACGTCTTAGACCCCATACCCGACTCTAAATATAACTTTAACGATTCCTACTAAAAGTTGTGGTAAAAGACTTGTTCCCAACGACGTAACCAATACTACATAAATATAGGAACAAAGAGTATTAAAATATAGAGACTAAGTTGTTTTTTCTACGATTCTTTAATATTTGTTTTAGATAACGAGAGTATATTATTATTATAATTTAAACCAAAATGAGTAATCGAGCATTATTCTATCTATTATATTAAGAATTATAGTAATTTATAAAAGATAATTAATGAATTACTATTAATCTATTTTTCTTGAATTTATATATATATTTAAATTTAACTTTATATTTTTATTCTAATTATTAATATTTTGTACTTTGTTTATAATAATAAAATGTCTCGGACCTTTTAGTTTTATACATTAAAAAATCGGTTGTGAGACTAAAATTCGTTAAATTAATACTTAATTATATTCGTACGAGATTAGTTTGTACAATAATAATCAAGTAACAACTATATAAATTCATACAAAGATTACGAAGAAAACCCACTCACATACAAATCAATTTTTTTTACCGACTACGCCACAAAAATAATATCCACATAAACAAATTATGAAGAATTCAAGTAAGCCTCTACTACTATACGAATATAAATTTCTATCTAGCATCTACAGGCCGACCTCATGAAAAGAGTCTTAATATTTAGAATTATTCAGCTAAGGGCGCCGCCCCTCTCCCCCGACTTATTCCTGACAACCTTTTTCGTCGACACTGCTCGCCTACCACTCCACATCATTGCCTAGGCCCTCGCCCGCGCCCTCGCCCACCACTCCGCGACACTCCCCGCGACGCGCCTTCACGGGCCTTCACCCGCACTCCACGCGACACACACACACACACACACCCTAACCACCCGTCACTCCGCGACAGTCCACACGACGCACGCCCGGCGCTCCGCCGCACTCCCCTCAAACTCGCCCTCCACCCACACGACACATACGCCCTCACCTGCCACTCCTCGACACGCCCTCATCCACCACTCCACGACACTCCCCCCCAGCCTCGCCCACACTCCCACGACGCACACGCCCTCGGCCACCAGTTCGTGACACACGTCGACACGCCGAACTCATGCGCAGGAATCTGACGAACGTGTCACAATGCACCGTGCTGCACGGAAACATGCCAGACAGCACTATAAGCACTATACACGGTATGGGAGCCATATACAAAAGTGTCGTCTTACTCACCACAGTACTATATCAGCATTAACTTGAGACTTACGTAGCTTGTACGACACTGGACTCGTGTAGCTGTGCATAGCTTGCACGATGCTGTACTGGAAATGCTACTGTGCGATATATAGAGCATGCATAACGAATGCAAAATATCGAATGAATCACTATAGCATAATAATATAACAATAACATGAGGCCTTGGTAGCTTAAGCACTATCAGCAAACATCCAATACTTGGTCAACGCGGCATAACAAAGCTATATAGAATACACAATAAAATTCACTGAACATGTCGTGGCATGGTTTAAGATTGCTGTACGAAGCCATAGTTTTGCGGGATTTCCGGATTTCGTACGCAAGTCCAGTACGAAACCACGGAAATCACGGACATTTTTGGGTTTCATACTGAGGATTCCGGTCTAATTCAAAAGCAAACCGCCGCCAGCTTACCGACTGGCTTCGACTTCGCGGCTTCAGTAGGTGTTGCTGGCTTCCGCTTGGATCAGCGGCCGATGGTTGGGAAATGTTGGGAAGTTGTCGTCTGAAGAGGGCTCTTGCCATTGCAGGTCATGCCATGCTTCGAGGTGGTGGGGAGTAGCTTTTGCACTTCGACACACCCGGACTCCGCCAGCGACTGTAAGTATGCTCGTCGAGGACGATGCTCCGAGCAAGCAGCTCTGCCGGTTTGCATTCTATACGAGATCCGTTTAACCTGTTCACGCCTAGAGCGGATGTCCCAGCCCTTTCTCGCTTCTGCAGAACTTCCCTTTGGACGTGCCCGATGCTCAGCCGAAGAGGTCGAAGTCCATCTCCTCTCTAACTTAAACGCATTGGGATTCTGCATACAGCGTGACGGGCAGTGACGGGCAGTCTCCTCCTCTTCTTCCTCCTCCTCGACCTCCGTGCAGGTACGAAGGCAAGATAAGGCAACACGTGACATGCCGGACCATTCATGGACGTCCGCTCTTCCAAGCAAAGGGGCCGTGGGCAAGCAATCGTAAATAAGTCGCAACAAGGTACATAATTATGCCCCAGCAACTTGGCCGTGATGCACGCATTCCCGCGACGGAAAAGGCTTCTTGTGGCAAGGACGGTTGATGCAGCAACTTCCTTCGACCTGCCAACTCCCGCGACTCAAAATCATTCCGCCTTCTTCTCTTCCTGCAGGGACGAGATCAGAAGCACATGTTGGAAGGGCGACTTCGGATGATCTTTGTCTCTGAGCTAGAAGAACAATGAACTTCTTGACTACCAGTGTCGTTGGATTTGCAGTGGCTGAGGCGAATCTAGTGCAGCGGCGGAGGGCTCCTTCTTCGCCTCTGCCGCGGGCGCAGCGGCACCGCCACCGCCGCCAATTGCGGGGCCGCCGCCACCACCGCCACCAAAGCCCTCAAAATTGCACTTCACATCACATCAGAACACGTCTTCCAAGCACCTCCCTCCCAAAAAGCGATTAATCGGAATCGGATGAGCCACCGTGGTCCTCTGCGTAATGATTCGACTGTGGGATGGTTCTTTGGAGTCTTTGGAGCCCATGGAGATTCCAGGCATGGTGCAAGCACTTGATATGACTCTGTCGCATCAGCTTTGGCACAACTACGAGTGCTTCACTTGCGGCGACTCCAGCTGTTCATCCCTGACCCATCCGCGGGCTGAGCCTTCAGCTTCTCCTTTCCCTCAGCCACGACCTGGATTTAGGCAAGCGGTCGGAAGACAAAGCCGACGTTCGATTGCACAAGACCGGAACTGAAGGATGCCCTGAGCACACCCAACTCCCACGCAAGAGGCCTCGTGAACCGTCTTGCCTTCGAGCCTGGGCTGTCGCACTGTCCACTCGCATCTTGCAGTCGCGGCACTGTGATGCTCGTGAACCCTGACTTAAGCTGCTGGGCCTGCACCCACCCTTACCCTGAGCTGCTGCCGAAAGGCTCAGAGACCAGCTTGCTGGCAATGCTCTCATCCTCGGGAGCAACAGCCAATACACATCAACAGGGCAGACCCGTCGGATCCATGAACAGCAGCGGCGATGATCTTGGCGCTTCGGCGGCTGGCAGGAGCCAGGGGATGATTGGAATTGCGTGTTGTCTTTGGAAACAGGATGCTACGGACCAATCACGGTACCCCATTCTGCCAGAAACCAGCTTAAGTGTTCCAAGGCTTCATACCGGTCACAAGCTGCCGATATCGGCAGTCCTAAAGGTCTGGACTTAATCCGAACGTGACGATGCACAGCAGCAAACGAATCAAGCTTCGGAAGAGACTGCTTTCGTTGATTATACAAGTATGCTAGCGCCAGAGCTATACAATGTTTCAGAATCGACGCTCAGGGCTTGCAGAACATGCAGCCCCCGAGTCTCCTTGCTTGCATGTGTGACAAAACTCTGAGGCTGGGACGTATTCAGACTCCACGGACTCGAGGATGCTTTTGATGTCGTCGGCGGAAGGGCTGTCCTTGCCCGCGAGGGCCTCAGGTTCTGAAGAGTGTTGGGGCAATGATAACAGAAGAGGAGGCGGTAATGACGACTCAAAGCCTCATCTAATGTCAACGGATCCCCTCCTTGCATCTGCACTAGCACTTACCGGCTTCGAGAGAGCTCTTTTCTGCTCGATACAATAGCCTAGGACTGATGTATCCAGCCTTTACGAAGCACGTGCTAGATCTGCCTGATTAAACTATCGGCGAAGAACCTGGAGTTTAGCTACAAAGCAACTCCAAAGGTGGCTGCCAGGGCTTTTCGGAGTTTGGTGGGCTTCTTTACTCATGTCTCCCGGCTTACGATGTAGAATTATGAAATATGGGTCCATGCAGCTGCTGAGGCCGTTGCTGCCATGAGATACGCTGCCACGTATTTCATGCCCATCTGGCGGCCATGATACCAGATTTGAATGGGTGGTCTGAGGTTTGGATGGCTGAAGGGAATGAGGGTGTCCGTTAAAGCGTCGATGACACAAGTCTTATGTGGCGTTTGAAGTGGAGGGATCGAGTCGATGAGTGGCAGAAAATGACGTGACTGTATCCGTGCCCTCTCCAATGGTAAGCCTTGCTGTCCTGTCGCAACACGTGCAGCCGACGTAACAGGGACGAAACCTTTCCCAAGCAGAAGCTTGGAGCTTACATGTAAAGCAGCCCAAGCGTCCTTGACGAAGCCGGCTGCTCAGCCGTCCTTAGTGTTTCAGAGGCATCTCGATACTTTCGATGTCAGCCTCGGTTTTGAGTCAAATTGAGAACAGCTACGTCAGGGCGGGCTCTTCACGTGTACTAGCTGCAAGTCAGTCCCTGGTTTCATCATTGATCCGACAAGTATCCAGTACTGCTAACTTTCCCGGCTGCCTCCACAACAACTTCTTGATTATGCGTATCCCTTCCCCCACCTACGACATGTAAAGCCTGCAGCCCAGCCGTCTCGAAACGAGACGGTGCAGCGATGCCGAGGACCTTCTTTCGAAATCGAGCCTCAGCCTCAAAACAGCTAATTCTCACATCTGAGCGTCGGAGTTGAAAGGTTCTGCAGCTCTCATCCCGCTTGGACCGAGATGGCAGCGACGCAGCGAGCGTGGCAGCACAAATGAATTCGCCCATCTATTTGGCGGGGCTTAGGAGGCGTGTCAGGTCTCGCAGGCCGAGTGGCCCACCCTTGTGTAAGGAGCTTATTGGGGAGCAGTGAAAACAAAGCCACATAACTCCAATGAAGAAGATATGTATGCAAGGTCTACAGGCCAGAAGGGAAGCACATATGGTTTCTCCTTCTTTCGACAGGGTTCCGCGCTCAGAGGTTGCCCCCCTCGCCTCTCTCTCTCTCTCTCTCTCTCTCTCTCTCTCTCTCTCTACGTATATATATATATACATACGTACGTACAGACATACATACTTACATACATACAAGAAATACATAGAAATATTGAAACAGTTCTTTGTAGAAGTATAACTCTTACGATTTTCATACTAATAATAAAAAGAAGTAATTCGAAAAAAAAGCCATTCATATATTGGGGAAATTCGTGCTTTGATTTTCTCTCGATAGAATGATAATCCATTGAACATCGATTCGGAGCCGTTCAGCAAACAACCATTTTCAGAAACGATTCATGTCTTCAGCTTCTGCCAGAGGTTCTCGGCGTCCTTGGCGGGCATGTCGTGGCCCTGCAGGCAGTCGGGTCCGGAGCGTCCGCTTGGTGTGCTTTAACTTCTGAAGGCGCCTGCAAGATCTCCACAACTGTTTCGTGGAGCTCGTCGACTTCGTCCTGCCACGAGCACCCTAAACATGGCGAGTCTGCATGAGAAACAGTGCCTCATATGCCGAGTGTAAACCTGGGCAATCCTTTGAGGAGCCTTCCTTCCACGCTCCGTGTTGAAGCACTGCTACAAGCAACCAAACATGCACGGCAGCTGGTTGATGCTGATTATACACCTCGTCTGACCTTGCCCCAGACTCTGCCGACAAACGACTCCTGCAGGCACTCCCCCATCATCGAGGCCAGATAGTCTATGATGCTCTCCTGCAGTTTTCAGGTCAGCTTGCACGTGCCTAGCAAGGTTCGAAACCCAGAACTGTCGAATTGCGGTGAAAGCAGAAACAAACGTACCGCGCTCATCAACCCGTCATGGTATGCGCACAATTTTCTACTGTATCTGCCGAGTTTCTCTCAAGTCTCCCTTGTTGTCGAAGGGTCGGATGCTGCGCTTGGATGGAGGCACATGACTGGGAAACAGTCTTGTTTGGGACGCTAGCCGCCGCTAGCAAGCTTCATCTGCCTCCATCTAAGCTGTAAAGCTGTCTCTACACCGAGTCTCCTCAAGCGCAGGCCGCGCGCCTGCGAGCAGCTCACGGCACCTGCGTCTTCTCCACATGTCATCATGTGGTTGGTCAGGCTTTCGATACGATTCCAGCTGACACACTGCCAGCTCTCATCTTTGATGACGGATACAGTAGGGGTGCAAAAAGTCACCTCAGCATTGCAATGGAACTCATAATTACTGTCAAGGGTTTTTGGAATCTCTCTTACGAGGGCCTGCATACCCCCAAGGTAGGATTACCTCTGTCTTGCACCCTGCTCCATACTGCACGGATGGACTTGAGAGCACCTGGAAACTTCATCGCAGACCAAGTCTGCAGCTTACTTTCGAGATCCCGGTGATGCTCTGGGAGTGTGAAGTCTTCACAGCTCGAACTGCACCCGAAAGAGTCGCAAGAAGCACACCTGAACATCCCAAGAAGCCCAACCCACAACACATAGCCGATTTCCTGCAAGAGCAGTAAAAAGAGAGAGAGAGAGAGAGACAGATTAGCTGCCGACAAGAAAGGTCCCCTTAGATAGAACGCCTTCGGGGAATACCCAGTGGAATACCCTCGCCCCAAGACAAGGTTAACCTGTTGACTTCTGCTAGGATTATAAACAAGGCCAAAACGGTTAAAGGTTACCTACCCAGCCCTACCAAGTACCTTCGGACACCTCGTTGCAAGCGCTTGGCACCACCCCCACAGTCAGCAGCGTCACATCTACCAGATCTATTTTCATCAAAATCACAATCAGTTCATCCTCTCTTGGTAGGAGCCACAGATTAGCTGATTAGCACCTGTCTGTCCGACTTTGCGCACAGGTTGCCGGAGCGTGGGCGCGAGCAGCAGCTGGATTTTTGAGCTCCGCACGTCGCCCTGACAGGTTCTCTTGTGTGCTGTCGTGACGATATTTGAAGCCAATAGATAAAGTTGTCTCTTATAGGGGAGGGAACTCGAGGGGACCAACTTCCATTTCTGAACTGTTCCGCTCCAAATATCCTGTCAGCCTTGCAGAGCACTGCAGAGACGTCACAACTCCGAAAAGAAGACAGCCGTGCGCCTTTCGACTCCAGCAGGTTCTCTGTACCGCGCTCCTGGTGGGCATATACGAGGGTTCTTGAGCAGGTAAAGACCTGCTCTCAAACCTTGAAAGATAAGAGGCAACTCAAGCTTCAGCTTGCCAGTATGCATGACGAAGCATTTTCGGCGGAAGATGATTTGTTTGAATGCGTAGCTTCGGACAGCGTCCTCCTTGGGGGCCAGCGGAACCAGCTCCTTGCCACCTGCACTGCGGAGTCGAGTGTGTAATGCTCTTCAGGCCCAGGTTCTACACACTCAGTTCCCTTCAACGAAACCCCACACATTGACATGCACGATATTGCTCGATCATGCAGGCTTGCCCTTCCACTTCTCATGTTGCCAAGGTGCACCAGACATGCAACTGTCACGCAAACTGACACAATCTTTGTCTGTGCAGGAGTGTGTCAGCCATGCAGTCAACTAGTGTGTGAAACATGCAATCAACTGAAACGAAAAGTGGCCTTGCTCCGGTCTCGCAGGCATCTCCGCCCATTTTGGCGCGCCGTCGAGACTCCCGAACACATTCTCTTGCCTGGCCTCTGGATTTCTGGCATCAAAGGGTAGAGAAGGTGGCTGTCAACAATACTGTTGACCCGATGTTGGCGGCTGTCGACCCAGTATGGAGTACGACTTCAACAGTTTTGACTGGGGAAAGAAACTTGCTCGTTGCATGCTCGCTTCCTACTTCTCGCCTCTTTCTTGTTGCACCCCCACCGTTCCTCCGTCTTTTGCTACTGTAACTTGCCTCATGCATGCTCTTTGCTGTCCTCGCATCTAACCTTAGTTGCCTGACGCATTCACCTTGCTTCGTTCCAGTTTTCAGGTGCCTTCCAGCCGTTTCATGTTGCCACCGTTCTGGAGGGTTGTCCACACCTCGCCAAGTCTAGGCAGAGCCTTCGGAACGCATTCAGTTGCCATCGATGCCAGTGATTCACGGGATGCATCACAGTTGAAGTTTCTGACCCTTCGCTAGGCTGCACGTAATTCAAGGATCCTGGCCTGGTTGCCCCATCGCCGCACTGGTTTCGGCACCTTGCAGGCCACCGACGGCTAGTCGACTGACAGCACTCCTTGCTTTCAGCAGGCAGTTGGCCTGCTCGCAGCTGTCTGCCATAGGTCGAGTCATTTCACGTACCAGCTAAGCGGTGAACGGCGCAGGCAGCGTACCGGCTTTAAGGGGTCCCCTCCAAAGGTGTCGGGTGCCTCTGGTGCCTCTGCTGCTGGGATGACTTGCTCCTCCTGGCCGGGCCGGGACAGGTGATTCACAACACATGTCGAAGTAACAAAGTTTGCAACATGAGGGTTTTCGTATGTGCAAGCAACAGTGGGCCACAATATCTGCCAGCATAACGTAGGTAGCAACATTTCATATATCAGCAAGTTCAGAGCAATCTACCAGAAGTACATACCGACACCAGATTGTGAGGACCTGGCAAAGACACACGGACCTATTCAGCTCAATTCCACTCGTCCCAGTGGTACTCCCGGCCTCTGCATATTCGTCCCACTCTTCTTCCTCCTCTTCCCACTCGTCCTGGCAGCCAGGAGGCTTCTTTGGTGCTTGGCGGCTGGGATCGGCTGGGCGCCTGATTCGGCCGCATGCTGTCAGTGATGGCTCCAGACTCAAGAACAGGACCCCCGCCCCGCCAAACGGAGCTCAAAACCGGCAAAACATCGCAAGGTCCCTAGCAGCCTTAGCATTCCTTAACCACAGGTCGCCAACAGTAGCTTATCGACTCAATGGGCGCGCAAAGCTGAGGCTGGCCTCCGCATCTTCGTCCCACTCCTCCTCGTCTTCCCAGTCAACGGGTCCGTCCTGCGAATGATATGCCATGCGATTCGCATTGCATGAGCTAGGCTTTCCAGCATCTAGAGTTGTGGGGACTCAGGCAGCAATGCGTGCAAGAGGTACTTTTGGGAGACCATACACAAACAGATCGGATGTGTACAGAATTTATTCACGCCATCGGAAACGCTGTCACTCTTTGCCGTGCTGTTGATGACTGTCGACTCCTCGTCAGCAAAGGATGCACGGTCGTAGTCCAGGTCATCCTCCCCTGGCGGGTGACATCATCATGTCCAGAACCAAACCAGTCACACTATTGACTTTCGGGATTTGGGACTCGCAATCCCTGCGTGACTGGTGAACAATCCAAGCACGGGTTCACTGTGTTGATGCTGTGTGATGTAGATTAGAACACCCTCCTGTACATTGGCTGCCCTTCAGGAACAGGGCAACATCCTGAATCTACGTGCGATTTCGGAGCCGTTTGGCATGCTGATGTTGCGGGATGGGCCAAAAGACTCAGTTTGAGTCAAGCTTTGTGCCTGGCCTTTGACATGCAGGCTTTTGTGTTTGTGCTTGAGTGCATAAAATGTGCGTAAGTCCATAAGGATGTCTCGCTTATTCTCGGGTTGTTCGGCGCGGGTGTCGCATCGGGCTTCCCGTGTTCAAGTGTCAAGGAGCGGACTTCGCTTGCAGCAGCAGAACTAGAGAAAGGGAACTTGCGAGCAATATGCATGTCGAAGGCAGCAGAACCCCAAGATTTGGAGTCTGCAGACGCATGAGGGGATGCCTTCTGCTCTCCCGTCGTTTGTGGACATTATTTGGTGTGGATCCTTCGGATCGTGGCGGACACCTTGAGCTTTTTCCAGTTCGAAAGAAATGTAAGCTTCGCACCATCCATCGCCTGGTCTCGGAAGCCAAATCTGCTCTGCCCTTCGCGCCTTCTGCCATAGCTTTGGCCTCTGGGCGTGCCAGTAACGCTTCCAACGCGCGGGCAGCCTCGGCTACATCAAAGGCCACTGGAACTGGTCCTTGACTAAAAGTGCATTCCAGCCTTGCCTGGTGTGGAGTTCCCGCGAAGCGGAGCAGTGCCTCCTCCACGGCCTCGAACTCTTCTCGAGCGTCGCAAAGCTATGAAAAGACTTATGGCTCAACTCAGTGGACTTAAGCATGTGATTCTTCAACTGTTCGTAATGATACTACCAGCGGTATGTTAACGAAAGATGTTAACGAAAAATGCCAGTGTCCAGCGTTGCGAAGTTCAGACGTTGCAGTCGTTTCCAGCTGCCATCTTCAGGCTTCCTCTCCGGGGCTCAGACAGGCGTCTCCTCTGGAAACATCTCGAACAGGACGGCCTTCTGTGCTGTGCATGACAGAGTGCGGAAATCTGGTGTGGAGCTGGCCGGACATGCCCGGCTCTTCGCCTCGTGAACATCTTCCCAGACTTGCTCCGTGCCACCTTGGCGAGGCAATGAACATCGCCCGTCCATGGCCCATCATCCTTGCAGCTCGCTTGCAACCTCTACAATAGCATTTCGCCTGCTTCATCCAGCATCCTGACGGCATGCAACTCGCTTGGTGGATTGCCAGTTGCTTCCATTGAAAGAGGCGGCTGGGCGACCTGCAGCAATGATTAGCAATGCAGTGTGGGGTAGCATTTTGAGTGGTGGACGGGAGTCGAAGGGTTGGCGTGGCTGAACATGACTTCTGCCGAAAGCTCGGCGGCTACATGTGTCAAGCGTCGATGTGCTTCAATTCGTCAATATAGTTTGTGCTCCAAAGTGCTCCAACGCTGTGCCGGGTCTCGCAAGGGTTCCGCTGATGGGCTGGGCATGGTCCTTTCCGGCCTCCATTTCAGATGAGGAAGCCTTCTGCGCCTTTCAGGACGAGCCGAGCTCTCAGAAAACTACGCAGAAGCATACACAACTGCATGACTGTGCAGAGTCGACCAGGAGGTTACTTGCAACCATGTCAACGAAGCCTAGAGCCTAGGGCTCACACTGCTCGTCGCGCTCGCCGCTCATCATTTCGTGTTGAGGGTCGAAGTTGACAGCGCGGCATCGGGGCCTCGTTCTTCGTTTGTGCCTAGAAGATAATGTTGGATTATGCCTTTTTCGGGCCGTTCCGCAACGATGAACTCGGGAATCTCGTGTTGACATCCTGTTGGCCATGCTTCTATGCCTCTATGCGATGCGACATGCATGAAGGGCAGCTTTGGCGGGTCGTTGTCCGGCCCCCTGACTGCTGCTGCTGCTACTGGTGGTGGCAGTGATCTGATAGTAGTAACAGTAGCAGCAGGAGCAGTAGCAGTAGCAGTAGCAGTAGCAGTAGCAGTCGCAGTCGCAGTCGCAGTTGCAGTCGCAGTAGGAGTAGGAGTAGGAGTAGGAGTAGGAGTAGGAGGAGTAGTAGTAGTAGTAGCAGTAGTAGTAGTAGTAGTAGTTGTTGTTGTGGTAGTAGTAGTAGTAGTAGTAGTAGTAGTGGTAGTAGTAGTATAGTAGTATGCAGTAGTAGCAGCCGTACAAGCAGCAGTAACTGCAGTAATGGCAGTCGTCATCGTCGTCCTCGTCGAGTAT